CCCTCCCTGGGCTTCAGCCAGTGAGGGTCACCCCAGTGTGGACTGGCCTCTTCTGCTGACCACTAAGGGGGCCCAGGACCTGCAGTGCTGTCATTTGGGCACAGCTGACCCTCGATGTCAGCCAGGGGATCAGGCCAGCTGGGCCGCTCCTGCCCAGCGGCATTCAGCCGGCTCCTTGCGAGGCCTCCATGGAGTGGGAAGCCGGTAGCTGCCCAGTCCCTTGTGCTGGATCGACTGGCGGATGGGGCCCTGTAGAGCCGCGTGCTTTGTGCACCAGTGTTCTGATGGTAGCGTCCTGAACGTCCCACATCCGGAAAGCGGGCACCCCACCCTGGAGTGGCGCTCCCTGGGGCCCCTGGTGCCCAGTGCTGCCCGAGCCTTGGCGGTTCTGGGTGGTGGGAGCCCAGTGGGCCAGAGCCTGTATGGGAGCAGTCAGAGAGCAGTCAGGGCGCCGCAGGCTGGCAGTCGGGGAGCGCGGGCAGGAGGCCCGGCTCCCAGGTAAAGAGGCCTCCTTGCGGGAAGGCACTGCTCACTCTCTGGCTGGTAACGGGCCTGTTCTTGTTTCTCAGGGCAACTGGGTGAGAAGCAGGTTCTGTCTTCAACCTCGGATGATCGGGTAAAAGACGAGTTCAGTGACCTTTCTGAGGGGTGAGAGAAGAGTGGGTTTAAATAGCTAACGTTCCTCCCTCGGAGACCAAACCCGCCATCCTGGGGCCTTGTTCCTTGTGCCCTACTTGGGATGTCGCCCCTCGGGGTGGGAAGAGAGGAGGTCATAGGTCTTGCGGGGCTTCCTGGTCCCCGAGGGCAGCCCCAGAGGGAACCTACAGCGTTCTAACTCGGCCTGCGGACAGCTCTGCTGGCACTGCCCCGCTGGGTCCTTGGGCACTGCTGCTCCCTGAAGGCCCTTTCTGGGCCAGCTCTGGACGCAACTACAGAGGAAGCCCGTCCCTGGCCCTGGGCTGTAACGCAATGCCTTAAAGCGGAGGGTCCACGCAGGCTTCTGGAGGCCAGCAGACCTCCCTGAAGGGCGTTGTCAAGATCTGTTGGCTCCTCGTGCACCCTCTGCTCTGAGCCCAGAGCCACACTGGAGCTGCCCTGCGTGCCTGCGCTGGCGTTCACGCCTCCCCGCTCTCCCTGCAAGCCTCGGGCCAACAGGACAGGATGACCAGGTTTTGGTGCACCCACTGAGCGTGCCAGGAACCCAGGACCCAGACGTGGCCAGGCTGCCAGCCAGCTCTGCTTCTGCACGTCCAGGCGGGTGGCAGCCTAGGGACGGCCAGGGGCTGCTAACCTGGGTCTGCTGCCTTGCTGAGACCACAGAGCGGCTGATTTAAGGGCAAATACTGCAGTGTTCTGCTTTTGCAGACTTTTAAATAGCTGATGGTAAGCCCACCAGCCACAGGGCGCTTGTGGTAGGGTGAGGCTTGTGGTAGCTTTCTCCATCTGCCTACCAGGGAGCCCACTTTGGTGGGAGTCTTCACACCCTTCTTGGGCCTGTGAGCATGGCGTATGGGGCGTTGGCAGCCTCTTCACCTCAGCGACCCAGCTCGTCCTCTGTCTTAGGAGATGGGATTGGGGAGTTTAGATTTCGTAAGATGTTCCCAGGGGATAAACCCCGTGGATGTGGGGACCCTTATGCTGTCCTGAGCCAGGAGGTCTGTGGGTCTGCCCCCTCCTCTGCCTTGGGCTTTGCTAAAGGTGCTCTCTTCCTTCCTAGAGACGTGCTGAGTGGAGATGAAAGCGACCGGAAGCAAAGTGCCCAGTCCTCGGACGAGTCCTTCGAGCCCCGCCCCGACAGGAAGTAAGGGGACAGCTGGTGCGAGGGCGTGGGGCTGGCGGGTGTCCTGGTGGCGGGTGCCAGTGTCTGCACCATGGCCGCACACAGCGGGGACAGTGTGGCCTGCCCTCCCTCGGCTCACACTCGCTTCTCTTCTGGCTCCACCTCCCAATTCCCAATCCCAGTCTGCTGTGGCTTCGGAAGGTGAGCAGCTGGGAAGCCATTCGGAGGGCCAGGTGGGCAGGTGAGCCTTGGGAGGGAAGGGTCCTCCTGACCACTGGTGCCTGTCTTTCTTCTGGGAGTTTGTAACTGGGGCTTATCCAGGTCTCACGCCATGATGGCCAAGAGGCCACGTGAGGGCTCTCTCAGACACCACGGGAGTGGCAGGGAGCCCCGTGGCCAGAACCCGCCTCGTTCTGGGGAGTCCCTTTCTGGGCCAGTCCTGCCCACCCCACACTCCACGGCATGCCCTCCTCACCCATCCCTGGGCCATATCTGCTGAGGCGTGGAGCAGCCCTGGACTCTTTCTACTCGACGCAGTTCTGATTTCTACAGCCACGTACCCACGTCCACTTCCTCACTGAGTCGCTTCTCTGACCATTTTTGTTTTTAAATGGTGCCAGAGGGGCACAGTCATGAGTGTGTGTGTGTGTGTGTGTGTGTGTGTGTGTGTGAGAGAGAGAGAGAGAGAGAGAGCGAGCGAGCGTATGCCTCTCAACGCTTGGTCATGCTGCCATCCCTTTTGCTCGAGTTCCTCACATCAGGATCCAGGGCACGTGCCTGTGTTTGCCACTTGGCTTGCAAGCTGTGTGCCCAGGCTTTGACCGCGGTCCAGCCTCCTGCCCCCCTGGCTCCCACCACGGCCCATCTGTACCCCCGGGCTCTGACTGTTGCCTGCCCTCTGTACTTCTTACCTGTGGCACTACCATGTGACCATGTTTGACCTCCTCCTTTCAGGGATTTGTTTTCAAAGTCCAGAAAGAACACAGGGCCCTTGGCTAGGAGGGCTAGTTTATACTGGTCTCACCCCCTCCTGTCTGAGCCCAGGGACATCCACAGCACCCTGCAGTTATGACAGTGCTGGACGAAGGGGTGGTTGTCCTTATTATTTTAGAATTTTTATTTTTTTTTGAGAGGTTTTTGCTGTAGGGTGCGTGCGCTCACCAGACAGACAGAGAGAGACAGAGAGATAGAAAGCGAGAAATCACCCCCCAAGGGGGATGGCCACGCTGCAATCCCTTCTCTTCCATTTTCCTCTTGGGATCTTGGGCACGCACGCACACGCACCCAGTTTGAGTTTAAGCTGCCAGGTCCGGGACTTGAACCGCAGTCAGCACTGGGAGTCCAGTGATGTCACCATTATGCCATCCGCTGGTCCCTGGTGGTTGTATTCAAGCATTTCGCAATCCAGGGGAAAGAGCAGCAGTTCTGAGTGCTACACCGTGAGCCAGGGGACCTGCGACAAACCCGGGCCGGCCGGCCTGAGCTCACACACTGGCAATGGGAAGAGGAGGGGTAGGACAGGAGGGTGGGGCTGAGCCAGCATGCTCGAGCCAGGATGCTGGCTGGGGGCAAGAGGCAGTGTGGGGGTACTGCCCAGGATGGCTGTCACAAGCCCGACTCCCACTTGGTGACCTGCCCAGGCTGGTCTGGGTTTCAGCGCAGCTGGACCCAGTGTCTTTTATTCCCCCCCATTTTTTGTTTTAAAGACAGGTTTTTGCTATAGGGCATGTGTGCTCACCAGAGAGACAAGAAGGGAGAAATCAGCCCTGGGGGATGGCCACACCGCAGTCCCTTCTCCATTCTTCTCTTGGGATTTTGGCCACGCACGCACATGTGCCCAGCGTGAGTTTTAAGCCACCAGGTCCAGAAATCGAACAGTGGTTAACTACGTGGGAGTCCAGCGATGTAACCATTGAGCCACTGCAGGCCTCAGAGCCTGTGTCTTTATGGCTTGTCTCCCAGCAGGTCTGGTCAATGGTCTGTGGAGGGCTAGGGATTAGGATAGAGGAAGCCGCTGAGCCCCGTTTGAGATAGGATCAGACAGGGACCACACCCTGTGTCACTCAATGGCCCCTCGGGGACAGATGCACATGCACTTCGTTCTCCCGGGATGTGGGGCAGGCACGCACGTGTGCCCAGCCTGTGTGAAGCCACTGGTTCCAGCACTGAACTGTGGTCCACGTGGGAGTCTGGTGCCTTCACCTCCATGCCACCTGCTGCTGTGGCCCTAGAGTTTGAGGTTGCCATGAAGCCGGTTGCCTGTTTTTACTGTTGCTGGTGCTCTTGGTGTCGTACCTAAGGAACTATTAATCAGACCCAAAGGTCGTGAAGGTTTACCACTCCGCTCACTTCCAAAGCCGTGGTTCTAGCTCTGGGGTACAGGGAGTGACCCCTTTTGGGTTGTCTTGTGTGTAGCGTGAGTCCAGCTTCGTTCTTCGCATGTGAACATCCAGCTGTCACAGTGTAATTTATGTTTTAATCTTTGTGTTTTAGAGATTTTTGCTCTAGGGCATGTGCACTTGCCAGAGAGACAGAAAGAGCAATCACCCTCCACAATCCCTTCTCCATTCTCCTCTCAAGATCTTGGGTACTTACGCATATGTGCCAGGCATGAGAGTTTTTTTTTTTTTTAGAATTATTTTATTTAACTTTATTCATTCCTTCATTTTAATTTGACCAGTGAAAGAGAAAGTGAGAAAGTAAGCCGTCAGGTCCAGGACTCAAACCATGGTTGGCCATGTGGGAGTCCAGCGTCTTAACCACCATGCCATCTGCTGGTCCCCCAGTGTCAGTTATTGAAGAGACTGTTCATCGAACGGTCTTGGCACCCTTGTCAGAAACCAGTAGACTTGCTCTGTGATCTGGCAATGAGGCAGGTCCCACATGGCTGGCTGTGTGGTTCGCGTCCCAGAACCAGCACCTTGAAATACACACCTGGCACACACACACCTGAAGCCCCGAGAGGAGGAAGCGGTAGAGGGATTGCAGCACAACTACCCCGCAGAGGCATGCCCTTCTCTGTCTCCTGGAGGGCATGTGCATTGTAGCCCCACACGATGTGAGCGCCATCTGACAGGCTGTCCTGGTCTTGGCTCTGTCGGATCCGTGTATAGACCTGTCCTTGTGCTAAGCACACACTGTTTATGTACAGCCTTGTGGTAAATGTGGGAGACAAGGTTTCAGTGTCTTTCTTCTTTGTATTTGAAATTCATTTAGGCCATGACGTGTTCCTTGAAATTCCATGTTAAATTTAGGACAGATATTTTTTAAAAAGAGTTCTTTATTTGGGACCACGTAATGGTTACATCACTGGACTCCCACATAGTTGACTGGTTCAGTTCCCAGACGTGGCAGCTTAAAACTCACACAGGACACATGTGTGTATGTACCCCAAATTCTGGGAAGACAATGGAGAAGAAGGAATTGAATGGCCATATCCCTTAGGGGGTGATTTTTCACTGTCTCTCTCTGGTGAGCACATGTACCCTATAGCAAAAAAAAGAAAAAAAAAAAATTGGGATCATTAGATGTATAGAAGGGGGATGGCCACGCTGCAATCCCTTCTCCATTCTCCTCTCAGGATCTTGGGCATGCAGGTACACGTGCCCGGCATGAGTTTAAGCCACCGGGTTCGGGACTCCAACCATGGTCGGCTACATGGGAGTCCAGCGACATAGCCATTACGCTGGTCCCTAGGGGGTGATTTTTCACTGTCTCTCTCTGGTGAGCACATGTACCCTATAGCAAAAAAAAGAAAAAAAAAAAATTGGGATCATTAGATGTATAGTGGTTAAGGTGTTAGTCTCCCATGTGAATGACCATGGTTTGAGTCCCAGACCCCGGTGGCTTGAAAATCACACCAGTCACATGCATGTGTGCCCAAAATCTGGTGAGAATGGAGGATGAGGGACTGTGGCGTGGCTATCTCTCTTGGGAGTGACTTCTTGCTTTCTCTTTCTTTGTCTCTCTGGTAAGCACACATACGAAGCACACATACCCTAAAGCAAAAAAAAAAAAAAAAAAAAACCAACTTAATTTTGTTATTTTTTAATTTGCTGTAGGGCATATGAGCTCACCAGAGAGGGAAAGTGAAAAAGCAAGCTGCCAGGTCTGGAACTCAAAACCGTGGTTGACCATGTGGAAATCCAGTACCCTAACCACCACGCTACCTACTGGCCCCTAGGGAAGTTTATTTTTATTTTTTAGGTTTTGCCATAGGCTTTTGTGCTTACTATAGAGAGAAAGGAAGGAAAATGAGAAATTACCCCTCTCCACCCCCAAGGGGGATGGCCACACTGCAACCCCTTCTCCATTCTCCTCTTGGAATTCTGGACATAAGCACACACGTGCACGTGCATCACCAGGTCAACCATATGGAATCCAGCACCTTTACCATTGTGCCACCTGTTCACCCACCATTAGGGTTTTTTTTTTTTTTTTATTTTTTATTTCT